TCCTGACAGTAAACGCATCGTTGGCTCCTGACAGTAAACGCATCGTTAGCTCCTGACAGTAAACGCATCGTTAGCTCCTGACAGTAAACGCATCGTTGGCTCCTGACAGTAAACGCATCGTTGGCTCCTGACAGTAAACGCATCGTTAGCTCCTGACAGTAAACGCATCGTTGGCTCCTGACAGTAAACGCATCGTTAGTTTATACAAAGCTTTAAGGCTGAGAACATCAAAGACAACTTATAAGTGTTGGTCTTACTTCTGCCCAGCTGCCTCACAAACAGCTGCATCTCGGCGATGAAGCTCCTGCAAACACAAACAGCAGCGTCACTTCCTGTGCTTTTCAGAGTAAAAGCCAAGGCGCGCGGCGCTGCACTCACCTGCTGCGTTCTCAGGAAGCTGCATGTTTTTCTGCCAGACTTTTAGGATTATCAAACACCAGCCGGCGGTGTCGCCCTCCCTGTGGTGAAGACACCAGAAGTCACAAGCAGACTCCTCAGACCCCAGCTGCACCCATGGGACACATTTAGAGCACCTAAACTTGTCCCATGTCTTCCTTCGGTGTGCTTGTGAGTTCTGGTGTCACCTCTGGTGTGTGTGGGTTTAGTCTGAACTAAGAGCGGTTGGTGTGGACGGACTCAGTGACCCGGCTCAGAACTTCAGGAAGCGACAGTGAGAGCTCTCAGGTGTGGCCGACACACTCTGGAGGTCTCGGGATTTGCAGCAGTCAGGCAGAAAAACATGCAGGACCTTCTTGAAAAGCAGAGCGGACCATTTCTGCAGGACAACAAACACCAGCTGAGGAGCCGAGACCCAGATGGTGTTTGTTGCCTTCAGGTTAGAACTTCTGACTCCATCATTGTTCTCCTCTTTGACTCCCCAACTTGAAAAATAGCAAATAAAATAAAGAATGAGAACGTCAGCTGCAGCTCCTGCTGGATCCGACTAAAACCTGGGGGTTGAACCTGAAACAGCTTCGAGGAGAAACCATCATTACTTCTGGATGAAGCTCAATGACAGCTGGAGCACCTTCAGCTTCAGCTGGTTGGATTTAAAGCCTGCAGCTCATTTCTTATCCTCATTTAGTCAAGCTTTTTAAAAACAACAAAAGCCTAAAGAGAACACCCTGAAGAACCTTCAGAACATCTGCAGAATGCTGACCCAGATCAGGGTAACGTAGCAGGCCTCAGTCCTGGTCCTGGATCACCTCCATCCTGTAGGTCTTTAGCCGTTTCTCTGCTGAAAGATAGAAATCTCTCATTCATTCAAATTAGACATGATGGAGCGACAAAGACCTCAGACCTGCAGGGTACTGGACCTCCAGGACCAGAAGGTACTGGACCTCCAGGACCAAAAGGTAGTGGAGGTCCAGGACCAGAAGGTAGTGGAGGTCCAGGACCAGAACCGAGCCCCGCTGCTTTAAAGGGTTACAGGACACTGGATCATTGGAGGGACCAGGATCAGACTGTAGAGATCCCAAAAACTGCACAAAGACTATCAGAACCGACAAAGCCGTCAGTCGGACCTTCAGATTCAAACAGACTCAAACCAGGGCCGGGCCACGTACCGAGAGTTTTTCATCTTACGAAGGTTAAAGCGGCTCGTTGGCACCACCGAGTTTTATTACACTTCAAAATCTGTTTAGCTGTTTTCCTCCCGTCTGTCCTCGGCTGCACGCTCCCCCTCGGCTGCACGCTCCCCCTCGGCTGCA